CAGCCCTGCAGTCTCTTGCTGGTGCCTTATTGCTGCAGGGACAATTTATGCAAGGTTTGGTTCCTACAGTCCCAGGAGTTTTGCTGTTATTTGCAATAGCAGTAGGGCTGGACCACTCTCTACAGGTAACAAGGAGGTATGTGACTTGCTTTTGTATATGGTGCATTTTTTCACATCAGCAAGGATGTTCAGAGCTGGCTTTCTATTTACTGGAGAGTATACAGTAATTGTTTCCCAAAATGGAATCTTTAGCTAGACTTTCCTCTCCCTGGCAAAGCTGCCAGCTGATAATGCTAGAAATGGATTAATCTTGTTTTGTTAAAATAGTTGATCTTGTCATCTTCATGAAGCCAGTGAGTTTGACTGATATGAAATTGTCTAAATTAATGGCATCTAACTAGTATCTAACAATGTCTTTCCATACCACTTTATCACATTACTCTGTTTTCTAATCTTGCAAATACTCTTAAGAGAAATTACTCCCATGAATAAAATGACCTCGTATTCCTTAATGCATGCAGGCTTGGGCCCCAAGTGACAATCTAATTTACATTAAAATTGTTTCTGAGCAGAAAAGGCTGCTAATTATTCCAGATGCTGCATTTAGGCTATATTTTGAAAGGAGAAATACATCTTTGTTGTCTGATTTTTTCTTCTTTTCTTGTTTCCTTACAAGCTGTTTTGCAGTTGCACATATGGGCAGCATGGTGTAAATAGAAAAATATTTGGTATTTTGGTGAATGAAGTGTTATTTGTGCTCAAAGAATGGACAATTGCATCTGATCTGACTTTTTTGATTTTGCTAAAAATGGAGGAAGCAATTCAATTTGTAATATGATTTGTCAATTTATACTTTGATGATCAGTACAAAATGACATTTGAAACATATTAACTTTTTTGCATTTGCACATTTGAGAAACAGGGTTTTAGTTTTCTTCAAGTATTCATCCTTGTTTTACATTTTAGTCAAAGGAGTCAAATAAAGTTTGTTAAGAAATAAAGTTAGAAAGGCACAAAGTACCTGCAACTGCTACTTATTTTCAGTCTATGACAAATTGAATTTCCATGGCAGCTTGTAAATTCACTAAATTTAGAATTTCAGGTAATACTAAAAGCCTAGCAAGTAAATGATTGAAGAATCCAAATCTGCCTGCAAGACAGTGAATTTGGCAACTTAGACACTTCGAAAACATTTTAATATAAGGTTATGCATCTCTGAAAAAAAAACCTCTACTATCTCTTGCTCCTGCCAAAGATAGGAAAGCCATTGATTTGTAACAGATGGAAAGAGAGGCTTCTTAGATGATTAGGCAAAGGGAGAGACTAACACACCAGAAACGGGGGGAAGAGGAAATTATCTTCTTTGAGTATATGGGGGAATATATGTTGGGGACTGGGGAGAGGCAACAGAGGTAGATCTCTACAAATAGATACAGGTCAGGCAACAGTAAAGTTAGGAATTATCAACGAGCTGTTTGCCATTAATGATATTTGATTTGAAGCTGAAGCTTTGCAGGCAGAACATGTAAAACCCCTTAAACATGTCTTTGGAAGGCAAGATCAGTTTATTTATAGAAGGGGTGATGACATGGATCTGAAATACCAAGAGACTGGATTTCCTGGCCCAGGTGCATGACCACTGTGCCTTTTTAAGGCTGCTGAGTTTTGTGTGATTTTTTGCCTCTCTTTATACCCTGCATGTTGCACAGTAGGATGGGTCTCCAAAGCAACAATCCCGGTGTCACAATCACTAGCAAGTAACAATCTTCCTGTCAGCCCTTCCTGTCAGCAGGACAGAAGGCTCAGTAATGACAAATCACATGCTTTCCTTCCTTCATCTTTACTGCAGTTCTGGGAAACAAATTTTGACTTGGTGTATCAGGTAGATCCTCAGGACTGGCATCTCAGGACTGCATTCTATTTCTACCTTTTAGGATTTCATAGCCTCTTGTCCTGCCATGACAACATTCAGTCCCAGTGTCCTCAAGCAAGTTTCCATCACTTCCTCCAAAAAGTTTCCAACAACCAAGAATAACTTTATCTGCAAGTAGTTTGGCTTTTGCTAAAAAGCATGGCAGAACAAGAATGGAAGCACCCATTAGGACAGGGCATCTGCAAGGAATGGACACAAAGTCATTCAGTCTTATCTTTTCCATCAAATAGTGAAGAATTTACACTCTGCTTGTTGTACATTTACTTAATTCTATAACACTCTACATAGCACAATGTAACCATCTATGCCAAATTGTATTTGCCATATTAAATGGTTTGCCAGTTTCTATTTCTCCAAGCAGTGTCATCAGTATAAGCCAATATGATATACTCTATTTTTTGAAGTAGTCTTTCATCTCTCTTTAAGGTGATCCTGAAATATAAGAGTGCATTGAATTTAATTTTTTTTACTCTTCAAAAAGAGTTAGATGGATTTATCTTTCAAACTTGTCATGTTGTCTGATTTCAGCTCATACGTGTATCTCAAAAAGACAAAAGCTTGTATCCTATTTATGTTATGCTTGTCAGAAAGTGCCTAGGAGCTTCACAGGGCTGCAGTGAAGTGGATGTGAGAAGTCCTGCTTTTCTGCAATGCCCAGAGCAGTCTCTCTCAGAAACATTCCTCCTCTTGAGGAAAACTCCTTAGAAAGAGAAGCTTAATTAAAAAGATTTCATTAATGTTCAGTAGCAGTGTGCTTTATGGGTTAGATGTCTTGCTATTACAAGGAGTCTAGATTAAAAAAAAAAAAAGCAAAAAAAATGAAAAAGGTGAGTGTCAAGGGTAACCCAAAATATTATTGTATTCCATATCTATCTGTTTCCAGAATTTTTCCTGTCTCTGTAAGACCAGGTGCCAGGGCTGGGGTACCAGTCCCTTTACAGTCTGAGCTGCCAAGCTGAGTTCTCTGTTGCCTGGTGGCTTTAGCTCAAGGCAGAGGCTCCATCTCATCACAGGCTGTTTTGGGTGGGCTTGAGCTCACAGCTGTAGCAACTTGGAAAAGCTGCATTTTGCAATCAAAAATTGTTTTGGAGTTTATTTTACAAACCCTATTGGTAGGGTTTTTAAAATAAGGTTTGCAGAGAAATTTTAATATTAATCATAACTATAATGAGGAGATTTATTGTTCTTACAGTGAACGTCCACACCTTTTAAAGTGAGCACATGCATTTTTCATTAAACTCACTGTATGCTCTGTCACTATAGTCTAACACAAGTGAAATATCCCCTCTCTGCAGGTGTAATAATCCTCAAAATCATTATCCTGAATAGGTGACCATGTGTTATTCATATCTATTAACAACATAGGTTTCTTACAGGGTGGATCATGGATAAGTCTGAGAGGAATAAGTGTCCATTCATGGCTAGATTTTCCTTCCCTTGCAATGTGGTAAGGCAGTATGGACCCTTACTCAGCTTCAAAATATTCAGTGGTAGACTTTTCTTTGTTAGTATCCTCTTGTTGACAAAACAACTGGGGCAAATCCCTTCTGTTTAGAGACATAGTGAAGAACATCCTATCAGGTCTCAAAGTCTGAGATACTTCTCCTCACTTATCAAATGTGCTGGTAGGTGAGCACCTCAAGAAGTCCTGCTACCACCTACAAGTCTGGGCAGAATTCTACAGATTTCTTTAGACATACTTTTATTATAGGTTACATAAGAAATTTCAAACATCAAGAGAAGGATTAAGAGGTTTGTTGTGCTTCAAGTGTAAAAGATTTTCTAGAAGAGGAAAAACTGGAAAAACCAGATCCCAAACCTGGCACTCCAGCAGAGTCTGATGTATTTAGAAGTGAATGCAAAGGAGCAAACTTGGTTGGAAAAACTGGTATTTATTTTGAATTAAAAAAAAAAAAAAAAAGGTTCAGTATTTATTTTCACTTGCAGCAAGATGGAACCAGGATTAAAATTTTTAATGGTAAACTAGAATGAGAGGAAAGACTGCAGAATATCTAGGAAGTTTGTGGCTAGGAAGCTCTTTAGGAGATGTGATAAAAAACAGGAAGTCAAATCCAAAGATGTCATGTCTGAGGACAGCTCACTAGTCACGGGGCTAATGTATTTTCTAACATTTTTCTATCATCCATTGTCTTTTTGCATTTTGCCCCTACCGTTTAAATGCTTGCTTTTGTTTCAGTCCAGATCAAAACCAACTACAAGAATCACAGGTTTGTATTCATCGTTACAGTAAAACCAGTAATTTGCAGCTTTTGCATGGACGTATATTCACATATGAATGCAAAATTAAATAGTTCCATTCAAAGAAAGAGGCAAGTATATAACCAGTCACAGAAATCCTAAAACTATCTGTAGCCCCCACTTACTTCTAGTTCCAAATTAATATCCTAAGCTACCTCTTTCAAGGTGAATAAAGTAATCATGAGGATATTGCCTATTCTGGAACTGCTCCATCATTTCCCATTTCTTTCGTACCTCTTATTTTAGCTAGATATTCTTGCTTGAGCCCAGCAGCTTAGTGGCAAACATATTTATAAGAAGCCTATTCCAAATTTGGTCAATGCACACTTATTCTTTTCATTAATTTCTTTTCATTCTTTCTTCAATGGATTTGCAAGCAACTGCTTCACAGGAAATTCCCTTAGCACAATTTAATTACTGCATACCTTTGGCCTTTAATGTTTTCTGATAAGGACATCTGAGGCCACACACTGTTCATGCTGGAATATGTTAGCATTTCTGGAAGTGAATAGAAAAAAAAAATGTAGCTGAAGAGGTACTAAAGATTTTGTTTAAATACTTAAGCTGAAATACAGCAACTGAGTACCCATTAACAGGTTTAGAAAATACAAATAAAAATTTCCACATTGGTGGGCACCAGTCTACATAAATTTTGCTAAATAAAAGACATATATTTTTATTTTTTAAAGTCCAGCTAAAACAATCCTAAAATCAGGATTTGTTTTAGTAAGCAGCCACACTTCTGTAAGTGTAGTAAGCAGCTGCACTTTTCTTTATCTTAAAGCTCTGCTTTAAGATAAAGTTTTCTAGTCTTTTTCTGCTACGTTCCCCAGGTGAGTAACAAGAACCTACTGAGATAATTTAGCCACATTGGCTAAATGTGGTTTTTACCTCCCTGCCTTGGGCCAGAGCATGGCTGTGGTGACAGATGCCTGTGCCTGCGTCTGTCAGGCAAGGGCTGCTACTTGCTTCCAAATGGTTACTTGATATGGCATCCCCAAAGAGTCTGTAATCCTTGTTTGCTTTGTTCTGCATTGCTTAATATCCAGTGACTCAGCAGCATTCCCTGCCACCCACTGGCATATTTTCCCTGTTATTTTATACATTGTGAAACAATCACTAATTTAATTTCATGGGTGAGGAATGAGCCTGCCACACATAATTCCCCAGCACGTTATGTGGGATCTTATCAGGGAACTCTCACAGCCCCAGGAAAAGTTTAGCTGGCATCTCAGTAGAGGCTCAGTTTTCTGGAAAGACAGTTTTAGTGTTTATCCTAGTGATCATATGGGATCCAGCAAACCAAGAAAATTTCAAGGAAAGCACCAAGGAATAGTTACTGTGTGAGTGATGAGCAGATGCTGCAGAAGAGACTCTAAACAAGCTATTGAGCAGCATTGCCACAGCCTCAAAGCTTCTCCAGGAACAGGTAGTCAAGGCAGCTGTTGGTGTTTTCCTGCTCCATGGGATAAAGACACCCAGCTGATCCATCTTCAGCACTGTACCTTGCTAGCCCTGCACTTCCATGCTGCATTTTGGAGCTTGAACATGGTTTGAATAGTCCTTAAAATGAAGCAGGCATCCATCTTATGCTGGCAAAGGGACAGCTGCTCTGATTTATGGTCCTACAGGACATGTTTGTACCAACCCAGGGCTTAAAATGAGTTGATTGTATTGCTTCAAAGGAGTGAGCATAAACTTACTAGATTTTTCTGAGGTGGTTAAAGTTTTTAGTTTGGAAGTAATTTCTATTTTTCCTCTTATGTTCCACAAGCTGAGGGCTTCGCATGTATTTTATAAGGCACAGCTGTGGGATTGCACCTCAGAGGCTGTTCATGGAGAGCATCCATACAGGATAATAAATGCTGTTTAACCAAGCAGACATGAGAAGCAACAAACCTCTCTCAGTATTGAACATGTGCCAGAGTCGAGAAAAGAGAGAATCATCTGTGGCACTGGGTCCATAATCACAGTAAGGTACCTCCTACATGGCCACAGGTGACAGGATGCTTGCCTCAGCCCCAGCAGGTCCCACCTGGCTGGCAGGCCAGATGCATGGGCACTGTTGTGTCTGTGGATGAAGGCCAGTAAATACCTTAACTCTAAAGTCCATAGGAGGCTACCTGGCCTGGAGGAAGCAGTGAGCTGGCATAGTAGGTGGTGGTGGTGAAGGGTCCACCCATGGGACAAAAACACAGTACAAACTTTTCTTGCTATGGTAAATGTGGACATTAGGAAAGTAATGGCTATTTCTCATGTGATGCAAATCTTTAAAAAAAGTGGGATTTTTCCCCTATTAAATCAGCTGAGCAGTCCTGCTCTGGCACCCTCTGACCATCTCTCATCCAATGCAGAATTCAGTTTCCTCATGGACAGGTTCAGAAGGACTACTGGAGGAACAGCAGTAGCACCTAAACCACAGGGAAGCACATTTTGGGTACTACAAATATTAAAAGTGAGTCTGTTCAGAGGGAGCAACTTTGGTTTTTGCTCATGAGTGTAAAAAGTTTAATACCACCTTTTGAGAGTAGACTAAACTGATGTTACTGCCATTGGAAAAATAATGCTTTTTATGTCTACAAGATCCCCCAAAACAAAGATACACCCATATGCAAATTGTACCCATATTATAAGCACACTCATGACTCCAGATACACTTTCAAAGGTTTTGACCAGCTAGCAGAACAAAATCCGGTGCTGTGTTTAACATACCAGAAACAGAAAGATGACTAAAAACAGAAGATTAAGAAGCTTTGGCACTGTAAGAAACATTACTGAGACATTAAATATGGGGTTATGATAATTGACAAGTCAAACAGGAGAATCCATATCTAAAGATGGGAAGAAATTAATCTCTGAAACAATTATGAATGTATTCCTTCTCAATGGGTTTTCCCAAGATACATCCTCAACCCCCTAAGATAACCTCACCAGAAGATATAGTAGATAAAAAGAGAGATTGTGTCTATCACAGATATTTTATTTGTCATCTAATAATTTAAATGTTGAATACTAAATATTATTACTGAATTATGAAAAGGAGGGTAAACTCTACTTGCGGGACAGTTGCTTGAGCCAAAGGTATGATTAGTGGGAGACCTATAGTTTCAGTGATTATCTTGAGCTGTACCAGAAGGGTTTGCTCATCCTAAGCAGCAGTTTGAAGAGCCTGTTTCACTTGCCTTTGCCAAACCTTAGCTGAGGGGAATGTAAAAAAATATCTATAAGACAAAGAAAAACCTATAACCACAAGAACAGGAGATATAATCTGAGTATGAGAGAAGATAGAGCAAAAAATGAGAAAAAATGCAAGACTGTAGGGCCAACAGGAGGCTCAAGAAGTTGCTTCATCTGCAAGAAGTAATTTTCAGGGACATCACTGGGGGAAGGATTTTATTTATTTGCTTGGTTCTTATTTCTCCATAGCCTGCTCAAGTCATTGCTGGAGAAGGGCTTCTGGACTGCAGGGACCTTCTTCCTGCCTATTTTTATGTTGCCTCCCATCTTTGTTAATAAGACTGTGGATGAATCAAAAGCAGCTTCTGGAATGAGGTAAGATGGATGGAAAAAGCATAGAAAGATTTATTTTCCTTGGAGAGTAGCCATATGTAAATAGTATAATTAGTTCTGAAAATAAGGAGTGAGTTAGCTGAACTCCCAATGACTGCCTCTTAGCTTCAGTCTTTGACACCTTTCCAGGGAAACAGCCTGAAGTCATGGGAAATTTTCTGATTCTTAACCTTTTTCAGAGAGTCACTGATAGCAGTCTGCTAAGTATACTTTGGATTCTCTTGAAATAATTTATTTGTAATTTAACGGGTTTTTTTACTTGGCAGAGAATAAGAACAGATCTCTTGATGGTCATAGGTGTTCATAAGGGGTTTTTATTTTCATGCTGGACTGGAGCACCTCAGAGAAATACTGGATGAAACCTGAACTCCGTGCATGCTCTGGAGAAGATGCTGGCCACTGCAGTAAATATGATAGTAGAAAACACAAGAATGAGAAGAAAGGAACAGGATCCTTTTTCTTCCTCAGACGTTACTATGAATTCACAATTAAAAGCAACTGCATCATTCTGCAAAGAAAAAATTGTGTATCATCTGCCTTATCTCTTTACACTAAAGTTATTAAATCTGATGCAAAGAACATATTTTCAGTTTAAAAATTTCTCACCCAACCTATAGGGTAGGCTACATATAGGGTTACACGATATTCAGAATTCATTCTCTAAATAATTCCAGTGATGTATTACTAAGAAGGATAAGATTTTAATTGCTTTCCAGCAGTTTTAGGTTGCATTTCACCCTGCATTGCATCTGCACTCTACAGATGTTTAATCCTGGAGCTGTCTCCCAGCAGCAGTTTGGCAACATTTGTGAAACAGTTGGTGTGTCAAAACTCCAAACATGTTTCTAAGAGCCTGGTGCTAGCACTAGAGGGGTATGGCATTTTCCATATTAAGTAATTATATATATGATGGTAATTGCAGTGTCTTTTCCACAACATATTTATAAGAATCAAAACCTTCCTCTATCACTTATTCTCATGCTAGGTCTGCTACTATGGGAAAATCTGTAAACAATTCACTTCAAGCAATATCAGGTTTATTAGTTGAGGGGAGGGAAAGCAGTGGGTCTACTCTTCTTCCTTCAGTCCTTCTCAAGCAGATCTCCACAGTTTGGTGATCATAACCAAGCAGGGATTTGGCTCAAAGGTTAATAATGCTCTGTTTGCTTTGCTCCATGTGATTTTGAAGACTTGGTTGGTATATTCAGCTGTGTAACTCTCTACTACCGTTTCGAAATAAATTAAAACATTTTAAGAATTATCTATCTTACCAACAGTTCTGTATTGACATAGCTCTCTGCTCTAGCTATTATGATTTTCCCCTGGGAGGAGCTAGCTTAATAGCTTGCTAGTTTGAGTTAAATGACTTAAATGATAAGTGGCATTTTGTTCTCATTACACTAAGAAAAGTCAATCAATATAAAGTCCATCAATGCCTTAATATAAAAGCAGAAACCAAGGAAAACTGATATTAAATGGAAATTTAGTATCCATTATATTGAACACTACAACTCAGTTTCCTGAACTAGAGTTGACAAACCACCAGTAAATGTCTAGCGGGGAGTAATTCTGCTGTGATTATACTGACTAGATGATTTAATAGGTCTTTTTCCTCTCTAATACCTCTGAACATATGAAAATCAATGGCAGCCCACTTGGTGGAAGTACCTTCCCTCTTCTGCTCCAGATGCATGTTTGAGCTACCTGTGCAAACCAATGCTGCCAGAGATGCCAGCTGTGTGTCACCTCTGGGGGGTAGCCACATACAGAAATTATAGGTCAAAATACAAAGGATTTCTTTTGAACTCTGAAAAACACCACCTCCTTTCCTTTGTAGGAACTTCAGGCAAAACCTTGCCACAGGAGACCTGTCTTGGTTTGAAAGACAGGTATGGTCTAAGGAAAGACAAGAGCCCCTTTTCTGCGATGCAGAGTGCAACCCCCCTCCCTTTTAATTATTTTAGGTCCAATTCAGAC